TACAACTGAAAAACTAATAAGCCATTACCTTAAAAAAGGCAAAGAAAATTTAACACAATGTTTTTTTCACCACAGGACATCAGTTAACTATTTCTATTTATTCAAGCTTTCGATATAACTATTTTATTCATCTCTACTTAAGATACTGTTGTAGACAGTGATAACAGAAACTAGGGGTATCTAGAAATACAGTAAATGTTTTATTCTATAATTTTTATAGTTTATAATGCAATAAAGAATGCTTTTAGTCACATTATATGAAAATGAATAATTCCTTAAAAGTTTATTCTACCCGCTAGCATGAATTTCTTGCCGTGATTGACCAAGAGTGCATCACTTGGTAATTAATATTTTCATTGTTGTCTTGAAAGCTGGGCAACAAACAACATTGGTGTCACCCAACTGTCAAGGCAATTGCCATGCATACATGATGTTGTAGCAGAACTTTGCATGCAAACATTTTTTGCCACATAGTGAAAACATACCAATTTCATTTAGGCTCAAGTAAAAACAATTTGCTACCACAGCATATGGTGAAAACATGCTGATTTATGTAGAATGTAAGGGCCAGGCTTTCTTAAATGTTCAATTTGATGTCGCCAGTGTTCTGGGACTAACATATACTAATTTCTAAATGATAGACGATGGACAGAGTTTTCCAAACATATGTAATATGTTGAGTTTGTGTTAAGTTTTCCAGCAAACTAAGAAAATAAACAATGGTGGGGTGTTAAAAGTAGTATGTTGCCAGTAGAAAAATTTAATTTCAAAGCAATAACATAAACACAAAAATTCTAAGAATGACTCAAGCCTTTATTGTGATTAATTAGTAAACACTTATGTTTTGAAAATTTGTTATTAGCTGATTGTCCCATTACTTTTTCACATATAAAAATATCCAAAATAACATGTCACCGTAATCATGTGTTCTCCTTTACCGTTGTTTATTTTCAAGATTACAATTACAATTTTTGAGTAAATAAAAAGATTAGTCTAAAATCAATCCGGGAAGTATATAATTTGATTTGATCATACCCCAAGTACAGGGTATCAAGAGATATTTTGGGTATGTCCATTTGGGGCTTGTAATATAATTAGTTTTTTTTAAGCACGCGATCTCCTATACACATATATATATCTAGCGTAGGTACTGAAATTATGTCATTTTGTTATAACGTTATACACAACAGCCAAGACATTTGTTGTTATAAGTAACTGAAAGAGTAAGAGTAAATTGCATTCTTCAGTAAACATCACTGAACATGAAATTGCGTGAACTTCTTTACGTGTTCTCTTTTACTTCAGAGGAGAATATGTAGAGTGCTTTTTCTGCCATATTTAGTTTCCACCATGTGCAGATGATTTGAAATGTATTAGTCACAAATCAACTCATTTTCCTGCAAGAAAAGTACTTGAAAATGGGATTACATAACAGGTGTGTGTATCTCTAACTGTATAACTAGCATTCATATGGCATGATTGGTGGTAGTTTTAGGTTTAAATGACTGATAAATTACAAAGCTAAATCTATGAGTGATAATTAGGGGTCTATTTATAAAAACAGATAATTGGGGACATGGTGAGATGCATGTAAAGGAGTTCACAGGATAGGTAAAGGACCATTATAATTCAACTCCTTTTATATACTTTGCACTTCTTAGTGTAATGCTTACGTTTATGATCTGTGGAAATAGTCTAATACAAAATAACTATTCTTATTAACCTGCTATAGCTGGATTTACTGTAGAAATGTAAAGGAGATCACATTAATGTCTACACCTGTCTTTACTAATATACAGAGGTGGTATACATTTCGATAATTGGTTTCATATTTGTATTTCTAAATTCGATGATAAACAAAGTCGGCAGCTGAAATATTATCACAGAAAAAAGGCAGCAGAAGGGAAGAACCTTCTTACAATTTGTTTGCTTTTTGCCTTTTTATTTTAGGTACAATATAATCTGGTAAAGGAGAACACATGTGGAAAACAGTAGTCATCTTCATCAAGGTGGGAAAATATGACAGAATGTAGCCTGAGTGCTAGATATTTGGCACAAGGTTTTTTCAGTTGTTATTTTTTCAAGAACTGTATAAATCATACTTATAGGAGAAGATTTTTTTTTAGCATTTTTCAGTTGAAAAATGGACACTTAAGAAAGCCTGGCCTGTAAGCGTAATTTACAAACAATGGTGGAAACCTTTCCAACATTCTATGCAAAGTTGGTGCTAACATTAGAGAAGTTCTTTTTTTTCTCATTTATTGGTATATTATCATATATATAATATCATATAGAATATCATATTATCACATGATATTTGAAAAATTAAAAAATTTAAATTTTACTTATTTATTTTTTATTGGTTTGTAAAATGCGATCCAAATCTTCAAAGAAATGTTACACTGTAAGATTTCCATGTTGTACCATAAATGTAGGTTAATTATACAGGTGACAGTGCTAATTAATCAGCTTTTAGTAAAGTTGAAAACAGAAGAGGGAGTAGAATAAAAAATTATTAACTGCTTTCATAACAAGTCAATAATTGTCCAATGTTGTATGACAGATCTTTAAATGTTTATTAATATAAATAACAAAATACAATTGATACCCTGATATTTATCAGGTCAATCTTTTAAAATGCATTTATTTCACATTCTTCTAAATATTATTTAATGAGCAATTGTTTTTATAGAAAAAAATCAATATACCTTCTTTCCTATTTAAATCATCAACCTTTTCATGTGATAACATAAAACTGGCACTGAGATGCTTATACTTTATCAGCCTGTTAAAATACTGAATGTTAAGCATTGACAGGAACACTCACATTTATGTTTAACTAAATATTGATACTTTAGTTTTAATTACTCTTATTTCTAATTGTGATTTTTATTCTTATGTTAGGGTTATTGTCATGGATCAAGGAAAAATTATTGAAACAGGTCCTCCTAAAAATCTTCTAGTACAGACACAGTCAGTGTTTTATGGCATGGCTAAGGATGCAGGACTGGCTTGATGGATGAAGAAAATTAATGAGATGTCTCAATATGTGTATTTCTTTTGATACCAAGATGATTTTTTAATAAAGTGTTAATGATCATGAAAGTATAAAATTACATGAAAAGGTAAGATTTAGCACGAAGGTTTTTCTTCAGGCGTGTGGAGAATAATCTTAATTATTTAGGGCATATTTTAATTCTGAGATGTTGAAAACCTAATGGAGTTACTAAGGTAGAAATGATAAAAGTAAAAAAAACTAAACTCAACATTTGTTGAGACTAAAGGCCAAGGTAAAAAACCATTAGGTTGAGGGCCCAATGAGGGCTCTAGAAGCCGAAGAACTTTAGACTCTCTGTGGCATTCTCAGTATTTCCTGGTTCCAAATAGAATGTTTTTAACAGGCAATTATTATTCATGTTAACATTATTTTTCCTTAAAGTTAATAAATTTGTCAGTGAGAGGTTTATTTTTGATTATATATAATACATATTAACATTAATGTTACTGTTTTTTTTTTTCCATAAATAGCAAAGTAATAATAATGAACTACATTTACTATAGCAGAATTTTATTTGGAAATTTATTGTTTTCATTAGATACTGTGTTACTTATGTTTTAATGTTCCTCACATACAAAGCAACTGAAATAAAATAAAAACGAGATACATTTTACTGAAAACAACCCACAAGACTTAAACTAAATATTACGGAGATCCAGTTGAATTTGATGTTTTTGACATGAAGCCACTTTACTTCTTTAGCTGAATGTTCATCTTCCTTAGAGTCAATTTGTTCTACCTGTCTAACCTTTTTCTTCATCTTATATTTGTGTGCCATCCATGCCTCTTTCTCCATGTCTTATAAATTTCTGCTTACTTTATTTATCTTCCTTTAATTATTATTGTTTCAGTTTTTGTTCTTTGAGATCTCTTTTTCACTACAATACCTTTTTGTATACTACAAATGCCCCTCTCAAGTTCAAAGACAGAACTTTGTCCATTGAGTAATGAACAACACCTTTACTTCTAAATATCTCATAAGCATTTTTGCCATTTAATCAAAACCGAAACCTCTGCTGAACCTGTGGTTTCAGTGTTCATATTTAAAGTAAGTGTGTAAGAAGTAATTAAAAATACATGGTGGTGATACTTAATTTTGCTTGAGCTTTCTAAATGTAAGGTAGTTCATTGAGTTTATGAAATACTCAGAAACAATTCATGTTTTCCTCAACCTGTCATAATCCATGATTGTATTGAGTCGATGAGCAATGGTGATGATAGTACACTGACTAAATTCATTCCTGATTGTGTTCTGGATCAGTCTGTCGGTGTCCAGGTCAACAGCTGCTGTAGCTTCGTCCAGGACCAAGACTTTAGTTTTTCTGAGTAATGCTCGAGCAAGACAGATCAACTGTCTCTGTCCAACACTATCAAGTAATTACAATAACCTTAAGTATTCTGCATTTTAAATATTAATACATTCTACATTTTAAATATTAATACATTCTACATTTTAGATATTAATACATTCTACATTTTAAATATTAATACATTCTACATTTTAGATATAATACATTCTACATTTTAGATATTAATACATTCTACATTTTAGATATTAACTACATTCTACATTTTAGATATTAATACATTCTGCATTTTAAATAATAATACATTCTACATTTTAGATATTAATACATTCTACATTTTAAATATCAATACATTCTACATTTTAGATATTAATACTTTCTACATTTTAAATATTAATATATTCTAGATTTTAGATATTAATACATTCTACATTTTTGATATTAATACATTCTACATTTTTGATATTAATACATTCTACATTTTAAATATTAATATATTCTACATTTCAGATATTAATACATTTTAGATATTAATACATTCTACATTTTAAATATCAATACATTCTACATTTTTGATATTAATACATTCTACATTTTAAATATTAATACATTCTACATTTTAAATATCAATACATTCTACATTTTAGATATTAATACATTCTACATTTTAAATATTAATACATTTTAAATATTAATACATTCTACATTTTAGATATTAATACATTCTACATATTAATACATTCTACATTTTAGATATTAATACATTTTA